ATTTGAAAGATCTGGAATTCATGTTTAAAACTGGCCTCGATTCTCCACTCAATTGAGTTGAGGAATTACATGAAAGAAATGAAAGATAGATCTGACCATGTTTTTTCCATCAAGAGAGCATACCTGTTTCTTTTTATTTATCTTATTTAAGAATTTTTTTAGATTGCACGTGGTTGTATATTGCAATATAATCTCTTGTTTGGTAAAGCCTTTTTCAGATTTTAAGTTTGTCAGACTTTGTTTTTAACCTCACATTTCATTCAACCGACAACTTTTATCCTATTTTTAACCACACATTTCATGGACCTACCAGCTTATAATGTCAAGAATCTGTCAAACAGGTGCTAAATATCTACCGCGGTCATATTTCATTCCAACAGAAATTTATCCCCTACAGATTTTCAGTTTTACTATTTATCTTGTTACAGGCGCTTTGTACAGCTGTTTCTTTGCTTGCAATGGTACCTTTGGGAGAATTGTTCTTTTTCCATATACTCCTTATCCAGAAGGTACATATCTATTCATTCTCTCTATGTGTGTGCATGAATGTGCTTTTGACCGTCATTTGTTTCTGTGTGTGTGCATGCTTGTGTTATGCCTGTATGATGCATTGTGTTTGTTTTGGCATTTTAAGTGCAGGTAGGGAAAAGTGAAGTTGGTAACGCTAATATTACATTTTTTCTGTAGGGTATCACAACATATGAGTATGTTGTTGCTATGAGGACTCAAAGTGACCCTCCTGGACCTTCTGTAGATGGAGGAGATCAACAAAGTTTGCCATCTTCACCAACGAGTTCTGCTGTTACTGCCATCAGTGGAAGAAGCTCTGTTGGCATGGGACTGCAATATAAAGGTGCTTGGTGTACTCCACCCAGGATATTTATGGATCATCAGGTATTGATGTCTCTTTGTAATACATGACTTCTTGAAGGTGACTATAGGAGTTTAGCGTGAAATAGAGTGATGAAACCAATCCTTATGGTGTTGAGTTTTTAGACATTCTCTTTCACATTGCTCCTTTTCCTAAAGGAGATTGTTTCAATATGTATGCAACTAAACTTTTTCTGTCAAACCATTGTTTCTAATTTAATTTTGGGAAAATTGCAGCTACGGTACCAAACTTTTCATTTTGTCTCAGACTTCACTCAAACCTTTTATTTGTACCACCCACGGTACCAAACATTTCAAAAATTCTCACATGGAGTCCAATCTGATGGAATCCATTAGTTAAGCCGTCAAAAATTGAGGATTATATTATTTGAAGGGTAGTGGAGTCATTATTGAGGATTATATTGTTTGAAAAGGTAATTGTTTTAAATATTTAAGTTTGTATATGAATATAAAAGGAACTTAAAGAAGATGTAATAAATTAATGCAAGTATTTAGAAGTTTGGATGAAATTGAGAAATGCAAAGGAATCCTTTGCGAATCCAATATACTATTTAAAAGATACGTGTGCAAAACAATTATTAAACAAGTTTTATTTTCTGGTATTGAGAGTTGAATCGTTACTGAAAATTTTTCAATAAGATGAATGTATTGCAAGTGAGGATGTTAAAAACGTGTGGTTATTCTAGAATGAAATGACATGAATACATGCCAACTAACAGAGGTGCCACCAATGAGGATAAATTTCTTCTGAGGAATGATTTTGTCATTTTATTACAAGGAGCTTATGGGCCATCCAAATTATTGTCCCTGATATCATGACATAATTTTGATTAATGAGATTAGTCAGAAAATACGTCCTTAATTTGTACTTTGGAGTCTGAAGGCTTTAGGTTAAGTAGAACAAAGATGTAATACATAGAAAGCCATTTTTTGTCACAGTACGAACAATGATGGTATTGGAGTCACTATAGAGGATCATGCTATCTCAAGTTGTGGTTTTAGGTATTTAGATTTGAATATTAAGAAGGACTCGGAAAGGATGTAATTCTATAATATACAGGATACGGATGGTTGTTTTAGTGTTTCTATATTATCAAAGATTTGAAATACACCAATAAGTTAAAAGAGAAGTTTTATGGAATGGTTATTAAACCAACCATGCTGTATGTTACCAAGTTGGGCTGTCAAAGAACGAAATTTGCTTAGGATGAATGCAAAGAAATTTTCGTAGGATGAATGTACAGAAATGAGGATGTTGAAATGAACGTGTGATCATATTAGGATGGAGTCAACTTTAAATAAGAATTTACACTTACAAGTGGAGGTTCCTTCAATTGAAGATGAATTACTGTAATAATGACTTTTGTTGTTGGATCTAAAGAAAGTCTACTTCAAAATAGCGAACAATCTTAGTAGAACATGTTAGAGAAAAGAGGTATATAAAAACTAATATGATCTAATGTGGTTGCCAAAAATTTAATTTCTTCAGGACCTTTTGTTTTACGTAGCAGTGATCAATGGAGTGGTGAAAAGGATTCACATTGCTGACTCCAATTTACTGGGAATAGAGTTTAGTTATTTGTAGTTGTTATGAAGGCATTATCAATGATAGTAAAAGGGTGGGTAGCAAAAGCATTTGAAATTCTAATTCTTGTGCTAATGGAAGGTAGGTTGACGATGACATTAGGCACTAAGTTAAAACATGTGATGATAAAGAAGTTGACCTTGTCTTTCAATTTTTATCGCACTTGCTCATCTCTATCTTTTTGGTCTGTCTTATTATTGGGCATTTATAATCATATGCTTTGTGTTCTCTGTGATGTGCTTTGCTTTCATTTATGTAAGAAAGGAAGTCCACATTGGTTTGTCCATGTTTAGTTTTATAATGTGGATCTGCTCTTATGAATGATATGTAGGATATGCAACCAACTTGCCATTTTCAACCATTTTGTATGACTTTTAACTACAAATTCTATGCTTCGTATTGGTTTCTTGTTGTCTCCATGGTCACCATGCAAGTTATGTTTTAATCCTGTTGGTTTATTCATTAATAAAGCAAGTTTTCCATTTATCTGATATCATTTTATTATTTTTAACCTTTGTTGCTATTAGAAGTACTTGATTTTTAAATTTCAACTGGAACATGGGAAGTCAAAGTGCATCTATATTGGCTCAATTATACGACTTTAAAGTGGAACATTTTTAACCTCATTTATCTTTTACTGCAAATGTTTCTTTCTGAGTGGTAATATGTTCTTTGTTTTTTGGCATCTCCTACACAGGATGAAATTATTCCCCACCTTGAGCCTGGCCGTTTACCTTCGACAGTTGATCCAGATGCAGTACAAGCTGACAAGGAGATACGAGGACCCCAGCGTCCAGTCAGAATCAGTGCATGGAAACTGGCAAAATTGGACTCTCATGAGGCTATTAAAGCTGGTGCAAAGGCCAGAGCTTCATCATCCGTTTTACGACCAATTAGTTCTAGACATCATCATTATGACGCTGATCATTTATCTAGTACCACTATGAGTGGTAGAAGTTCTCCAACGATTACGAGGCATGGATATTACGAGAATAATGCTCGAGCCGGGACATCAAGGTTGTCCCCGTCGAAGATCTCGTATCCACCTAGTCAAGCTAGCAGGGATGACATTGATACATGTGGTCACAGCATAAGTAACTTAAGCAGTCCTATTGCCACAAATCTCACTTCACCAGTTGGGCAGCAGCATTCTTCAAACAGAGACCACTTTAATCCGATATTTCAAGCATCAGCAAATCAATCTCCTTGGTCAGCAAAAGCTAGCGATAAGATTGAAGCTTCTATTAGCGATGACAATGGTGGGGCGCCCATGAGAAAAATCAATTTGGGTATTGCAGAAAACGTGAAATCATCAGTATTTTGGGATCCAGAAGCTGGGCGCTTTGTTTCTGCTGCCACCAGGAATGCTGGTTCATCGTCTCAGTCTACTTCAGCTGAGCTTTCGTACACAGGTCAATCTATATTCTTTGGAGGCCCTCTCATGAACGAACAATTGAGCCGAGGGCCAAGAAGTGGCACCTCTTTGCCAACTGTTACCCAGAGAAGTTCCACATCAAGTTACTATCAACAGGGTAGATCGCAGAGGGGAGGTCAGCTTCCTGTATTTGTCCCAAGTGATTCTCAGCAAAACCAATTTTCTTCCAGATTGCAATAAGATTTTGTATGAGACATGAAATGTTACTTCAGAATGGAGTTAGATTTGCAGATTATATTTTGAATTTCCTTTACCGCTCATTTCTGCAAAATTTTCCTTCGCCTCTTCTTCTGGTTAATACAAGCCAATCAAGCATCTTAAAATCTGATATTCTACTGATCTTGCTCATTTATCTGCAATTTTACTAAATGGGGTAAGATTCTTATTCAGGTTTCTCGAGGTGTTGTATGTCCAGATTTCTTCCATGTCATCCCGAAAAATAAATAGAGTAATACTATTAAGTATTACTGATGTTAAGCACCCGTCTAGATAGTAATTACATGACATTAAATGATAGATTTTCTTAAATGTTATGTAATTCATTTAATTGAACCATCAAGTGTGATCGTCCAGGTTGGTGTTAAATAACATTTTTTTTCTTTAATATTATCCAGTCTACCTTATCGAACAAATTATCAAAGGACATTACAATGGTATTTGTACTTATATTATGATTCTATTTTATTTTTCTTCGCAACGGACACTTCTTTTTCTCTATTTCTTAAATATTTATAATTTTTAAAGGCATAAATTTTATTTTATTTTTAAAAAAATGTGGAGTATTTCCCTCCCCCTTTTGTGGTCATATTTTCCCCTCACTTAACTAAATCCCTAATAATACTCTCGTTAATAAGTTCCTCAATGGTATTATTGTAATTAAATCAAATTCTCTTCCCATTCTTACACAATCAATCTCCCAGACCCGGTTCAATACCGTTATAACATTTTGAAAACCAAATTTTTCTATTTTTTATTTTTTTCAAAAATATATTGTATTCTCCCTGTCTTTACCAAAATCTGAATTTATCATTTCCATTAGAAACTGAATTGGATTCTATATATTTTATCGGAAAAAAAAAAAGGAAAAAAATGGCGGGAGGAGGATCGGAATCAGCGAGGGAACTAGACCAGACGCCAACATGGGCAGTTGCATTAGTTTCTGCAGTCATCATTATAATCTCCATATTGTTGGAAAAATCTCTTCATAAGTTCGGAGAGGTTATTCTTCTCGATCATTCTTTTTTTTTTTTTT